ACTATCACTTCTGTAAGAAAGATTTCCTTGACTCTGGGTTTGTTTAGACCTTTCTCTTAGGTACACCATATTTCCTTGACATTTGTGTGTCAACCTTTTTATGTGTGTTTCTCCCATGAAACCTGTAAGGTTCTTGAGGTCAGGGACCATATTAGGCATTTACAGCTCCATGCCACATAGAATATGCTCAAGAATATTAGCTGACCTATAATTCCAACATTTTGAGAGGCCAAGGCAGGTGGATCACCTGAGGTCGGGCATTTGAGACCAATATGGTGAAACCCATCTCTACCAAAAATACAAAAACTTAGCCGACCATGGTGGTGCACACCTGTAATCCCAGCTACTCAGGGGGCTGAGGCCAGAGAATTGCTTGAACCCATAAGACAGAGGTTGCAGTGAGCCAATATCCTGTCACTGCACTCCAGCCTGGGTGACAGAGGGAAATTCTGTCTCAAAAAAAAAAAAAAGAATATTAGTTGAATAAACGAACCAATGAACAATTAAAATGTCTACATGGCACAATGCTAAATGCTATATACAGACTAATGACCAATCAGTATGATGCTATAAATCTGCAAATTAAAGATGAACAAATAAAACATATTTGTCAATTATGAAATGTAAAATTTGCATACTGTGATAGGCAAAATAGTGGTTCCCAACAACGTCCATGTCCTAATCCCCCAAACCTGTGCATAAATTAGGTTACATGGCAAAGGGAAATTAGCATTGTAGATGGAATTAAGCTTGCTAATCAGCTGACATTTAAATGAAGTGATATTTTGAATGATCTAGGTGGGCCTAGTTTAGCCACTAAGGCCCTTATACCTGGAAGAGGGAGGTAGAATAGAGAAATGAATGAGCTGACAGATGTAAAGGACTCTGTTGGATGTTGCTGACTTTGAGGACCAAGGTAGAGGCTCAAAACCAAGGAATGTGAGCAGCATCTGGAGGCTGAAGCAGGCCAGAAAATGGGGTCTCCCCTAGGCCCTTCTAAAGAAACTCAATTCTGCCCAAACCTTAATTTAAGTCTTGTGACTTAAAGTAAGTCTTGTGAATCCTGCTTTGGACTTCTCACTTCTGCAACTGTAAGATAATAAATTTACTTTTCTTTTATTAAAACAATTTTTTTTTTTTTGGAGACAGGATCTCTGTTGCCCAGGCTGGGATGCAGTAGTGCAAACGTGGCTCACTGCAGCCTCCACCTCCTGGGCTCAAGCCATCCTCACACCTCAGCTTCCCCACTGCAACCCCCCCGCAGGTAGCTGGAATTACAGGCATGCACCACCATGCCCCACTAATTTTTGCATCTTTTGTAGAGATGGGGTTTCGCCATATTGCCCAGGCTGTCTTGAACTATTGAGCTCAAGTGATCCGCCAGCCTCAGCCTCCCAAAGTGCTGGGACTAAAGGTGTGACCCATTGAGCCTGGCCGATTTATGTTGTTTTAATTGACTAAGTCTGTGGTAATTTTTAGCAGCAGCAATAGGAAACAAATACACATCCCCACATGAAACTATTAACTATGGGATTAACTATGGCTGCCTACGACAGAAAACCTAAGAGAATGGCAGTAGAAGCAAGATACATGTTTATTTCTTTCTAAGAGAAAGAGAAATGTGGAGGAGGAAGTCCAGGGCTGGTAATGGTATACCACAGTATAAAGGAATCAGGATCCTTAAGTCATTTTGTTCTGCATAACTTAAGGAGCTTTAGACAGCTCTGCCCAACTTAAGAAAATCCAGCAGGATTTCAATCCACAGGAAGAAGGGAAAGGATGGTGAAGCATCTCTTTCTGAAGATCTTCATAAATGTTATGTACACCACTTACATCTCTTTGCCTAGAACTACATAGCATAGTAAGACCTAGGTACATACAAGAAGAGAAAAAATAGAAGCATTACTTATTCTTTATTTTTTCCTAAAGGCAGGTCTCACTCTGTTGCCCTGGCTGAAGTGCAGTTGTGTGATCCAAGTTCACTTCAGCTTTGAACTCCTGGGCACAAGTGATCCTCCTGCTTCAGCCTCTTTAGTAGCTGGGACTGTAGGTGTGCATTACGATGCCTGGCTAATTTTTTAAATATTTGTAGAGAGCAGACCTTGCTATTGTTGACTAGGCTGGGCTCAAACACCTGGCCTCAAGCAATCCTCTTGCCTTGGCTTCCCAAAGCACTGGGATTATAGGCATGAACAACCACACCCAGCTAAGAGTTATTATTTCAAGTGGTCATGTGATAAGAATGGACAGTTCTATCATTTAAAAACAAGAAGAACCATATTAGGGACAATTAGCTCTATCTTATTGTGGTATTGTGATTTTTCTGTCATTGTTTTAAGTATGTAAAAGTTGTCTCACCTAGATTTTAGATCAATTAGGGCAGGGGCCATTATTCCACAAACAGGTTATTGAATAATTACTATGTGATAGTATTTGCCAGGTTTTGCAAGTACATATATTAGGACATGAGTATACACTTGTTCAACAAATGACATAAGGCATTTTACATCACATTCAAACATTAGTATTTTAAGGAATGGAAATAGCAAAATTATTGGTTGATAAATAAAGTTAAAATGCTTTATTTCTATATGCATATTACTCAGGGTCCTGGCAAGTAGCAGATGGCACATTCAAAGGATACACTGAGGACAGTTTAATGAAGACACTATTTACAGAGGTGTGGATGGGTTTTAAGAGAAGGAATGATGAAGCATTCAACCATTACAACCCTGGGCCTGAAGATACAAAGAGAAGCAGCAGTTTCTGAAACTTGGCAAGACCTGTGGCCATGGGATGAGGGCGTCGGATAGGAGCCAGGGACCTCAGGTAGAGGAATGAAGCTAGAGCCACAGCCAGGCAGCAGGGAATGGAATAAATATCCTGACCTCTCTCTCTCCTTCCTCTGATCATTTGCCAAAACCTCCAAATTGGCTGAAACCAAATGGAAACCAGAGGGCAAAGAAGCCTGGGTGATGTGACTTCAACAGAAGTCAGCCTCGCAGAGCACGGAAAGGCAGAGATGGACTTTGAAGGACAAAGTATAACAGGGATAATATGAAAAAGCAAAGCATTTCACAGAGTTGGAACGATTCAAAAAATTTTAAACAAAAAGAGAAAGGGAAATGATCCAAACAGGGCTGGGGCAAAGAAAGACAGAGGTAGGGAATGATTACAAAGTAAAACAGTGAGGAGGGGCAAAATGTCTGATCTATTTATGTAAGTAGGATAAAGACAGCAAGCAAAGAAATAGAGGCATGAGGTCTGAAGAGAATGAGAAGGGTCTGACCAGGGATCTTAAAGTTGTGGATATAATTAGACACATGGTATTTATCGCCAACTTTTAAGTTTAATACAATGGTAGAACATCTAAAACTTGTTACTGACTGCAAACATTTTAAAGGCATGTACACCAAGGACTGAACAGAGGCCGACGACTGTAACTGAGGATCTGCAATTTACAGAATGCCAGCACTGTAGGTCAAAGATATAGCCACACTCTGTAACAGAATCAATCAGCTGCTAAAAGATGACAGAGAAAAGAAATACACAGAGACAAAAGAGAACAAACAATGGTAGAAACCAGATATCAGACCCCTGATATCATGGTAAATACTTAAAATTCACTTAAATCAAAAATATGTGTGTTGCTTTTTCTCAAGTTACCTACATATAGTTCTAAGTGTAGAAAAAAATAAAGTTATTCATATTCATAAGTAATATTAGTAATAGAAACTACAATGTAACTTCTATGGAGGCAGTCTTTGAAAGAAATCCTTTTTAATCATTGTGACTCCATGGAAAATACTAGTTTCACTTTTTGGATGTTCACTGACATCCTGCAAACACCCTTCTCCCCATATTTATATCTATCTCTGTATTAGACATGCTCCTGAAAAATTGCCCCCTAAATAAGAAACTTCATGGGCTAACACTTCATTTACTTATATTAAAAAGAGGAGCCTCACTCCCCAGAGGAGGAACCATTTTGTGGTAAACTGTGACAAAACCACATGGAAGTATGGAGAAAACATTTGTCCCTGTGATACTTCTCAGGAGGCTATATTCGAAAGGCTGGCATGGGTCCTGTGGCCAACTGTTGGTTCTGCATCACCCTGTAGTCATGTTTCCTTCCTGACTCAGTGATTGCAGAATTTGGTGAGACTGCAACCGTGAAATGACCATTGCCATCCTTTGTTCCACAGTGAACCACAAATCCAGAATTACTGCAGGTCATGAGCCATGGTCAGAGCCAAGGACTGAGTAGCAGCTTTATGAGACCTCTAGATTCCGTACTTTTGAGGGATAACATGTATCACATTTCTTCTTTTTACTTCAAAACTCTAAGGTTAAAATTAGATATTGAATTCAAGAATGGTATTTACATGCTACCCATCCATGATTAACCAGCTTTAGATTTTGACGGAGACTAGAGAATCATATACTGCACTTCTCAATGTGTTTTGGAAGAGACCTATGTGGGAATGATATGCTTCATGTGGAACACCATGAAATCTCTACATTTTAAACTTAAGATAATTTTATGTCAAATTTTATCCTAATTTATACATGAATCATATGTGAAAATCAAATAGCAGGTGCAAAGGGTTTATGAAAAATTTATAGAAAAAACTGAGTATTGAAAATATTCTACCCATTTACATTTGTCCCCAATTTTGGAAAAGTTAGTACAGCAATTCATTTTTAGAATATCTTCCCTTCAGCATATATAATCCCAGCGCTCAGTAGAAGCATAGTGTTAACATTTCATTGACATATTAAAAATAAACATATATATTGAATGTATGGTGTATGACAGCACTACAATTACTAAAACCAAGAATGTGGGATACATGTTAAACTCATATATTAGTATCCCCTACCCTGTTTGAGTCGAATAAACCCAGATTTTAATAAACTTCTTTTATAAACTGATTCTAAAGATTTTTCCCCCATTCCTTAGTTATATTTAAGAGATAAGCAACCATCACACATGCATTATGTTCAAAGCAGAAATGTATTCTGAGATTTACTATTGTCTGTTTTCTTTCCAGTCTAGATATCAATATTTTCAAGAAAATTACAGTAAATAAAGTATGATAATTAAACATTTAATTCATAACGTACTTATCAGAAGCTTTTACACAATGAAAATTTTATGTTAGAAGATTTGGGCTACCAATAATATTCACTGTGCACATTTTAAAAATCTGGTGAACAGAGTTATTTGTTCAGGGAAAATGATTATGGAGAAATTAAAATCAAGAGGAATTTTAGTCTGGATATAAATGACAGTAATCACTTTTGCATCCATGACTTTAGCTGTTCCTAAGGACTAACGGGAGGGATGAAGGCAGATTATGGATTTTACTGCCAAGAACAGGTTCAGAAAAGGGCAACAACATTAACTTATTTAGGAAATGTTTATCAAGCATCTACTATTGGCCATGTACTCCACTAGGTGTTGAGGACATAGAAACATGGAAAAAAAAACTTGCCTGAAAAGGTACTTGTCCACAGTCTGGGCCTAACTAAAAAACCAGAAACCACTAAAGGAAGGAAGAAAATGACTTCTCAATGCGTCTCTTTGCTTCAACTCTTTATGATTATGAGGTAAGGATGAACACTGAAGGAAGCTTGGGAAGGAGGTATAGGCCAGAAAGAGAACACAAGAAAATGCTATTTGTAGTACTTCCTAAGTTTAATAGTAGGTATACGTGTGCTGGAGTTGGAAAGTATTTTTTTTTTTTCCTTTCTGGTCAGAAGTTAGGGTGGCTGAAAAAACGTTGGTGGGGTGGGAGCAATTCCACAGTCTATCGGCTGATTCGGTAGGTGACTGAAGAACCCTGTACAACTCTTAAAAGGGAGGAAGAATTCACACTTAACCAAGCAAAGCAAGGACACTGCGTTGACACGCACAGATTTCAGTTACCATGGTACTGAGGAAAGTGAATACTGCCTGTACTTGAAATTATCATTAAGAATAACGATTCTAGTTTTGGCACTGAGGATGAGGGCAGATATATAGACATAATGTATAGCAAAGAATATTTACAGGTACATTTCATGGACCAATAAATAATGCATTTACTTCTCAAAATGTCCAAGAAAATGTGAGAGAGAAAATGTTCATCTATATTCAAGATTAAACTTTCTAACTTTAAATCACCAGACTTCAGCTGTAAATTTATTTCAGTTGAAAGGTTTGAAGACATTATTAATGAATATCCTAAAATTCCGGAAGGTGGTTAAAAGATAATTTTAACCTAATAAAAAAAATCCTGCCATAGAGATGGCAAAAATTATAAGCATAAATTTATTGAGCACCTACTATGTGTCAGACAGTGAGCTAGGTGATTTACTAGTTATTTCCAATACTCTGGTCACTTTTCCGTTTTCTCAATTTCTCTATCAATAAATTCCTACATTGTTAATTTATAACTCTATTACTTGAAATACAGATCAGCTCATTTATTCCATAAAGTTGGTCCAAAAGACGTTTCCTTATTCGAAGGAGGTGGGAAGCAGGAAGAAAAACCTAAATCTACATTCTACTGAATACTGAAGACGGCTTTCTTGATATTTGTATCTGTATGGTCTTTCAGGAATCCCCAAACTTATACCGAGGACTTAAGATAAAACCAGCCATCTATCAGGCTCAGAGAACACATCTGTCAGCTGTTACTTCTTGCCTGAAACATCGTCCTGAATGGAGATGACCTCTCATTTAGGGAGGAAATCATGGCCTGTGAATACCTCAGCTCTGGGTCCTGCCACCCAGGATCCCAGGGGTCTACACGAGGAGGGGCAGGAGGGAGGGGAGGGAGAGGGGCGAGGGCCGGGTGGGGGAGGCCGAGGTGACAGCAGGTGAGAGCCGGTGCGGATGGGGAAGTGAGACAGGCACCGTGTGGGTATTACTCATTCCGCTCCGCTAACGAGGCTGCTGGCAGGCGGAACTTCTCGCCTCTCTTTCAGTCCAGCTGAACTTCAGCCTCATTGAAGTCCATTCCCATCCCCGTTCGCGCGCAGGGAAACCGTGCGTCCCTAAGGGAAGGGAGTCCAGGCTGCGTGGGTCAGGTAGCCCGTCTCCGGGCGCCGCGCGGGTCCTCGCCGTCCCCAAACCTGCCCTTCCCCTCATCAAGGGAAGTCCCCGGGGAGTCCAGGCCACGTTCCCTTTCCTTGGCCCCGGGGTGAGCGGAGCAGACACGCGAGGCGTGGGACTGACGGCAGCCCTGCCTCCGGGAAGCAGGCGGGCGGGGGCCTCGGGGCGCTCGAAGGGGCAGCTCCGAGGGCACAGGGTCCACGGGAAAAGCCGCCAGATCCCTCCCTGCCCCTGGCAGCGGGTGTGGTCAGCGCGGAGGCAGGACTCCGCCCAGCCTCCAGCTTTACCTTTCCAACTGCGGCAGCCCGTGGCCCTTCAGACCACGTCCCCACGGTTTCCCAACACCCGCCTCGCCCTCGCCCCACCACACCTGAGGCCAACTTTTCCCTCGCCCCTCAATTCAAACTCAGCAGTGCCCACAGCTGCCGCAAACCGCCCGCTCCTTAGCAACCAAGGTTCCGGCCGTAGAGCGAGCGCCTCTAGGTGTAAGGAAGGTGATGTCGTAAAGCCGCGAGTGTCGTAAACCAGGTGCGGTGGGGAGGGGGGAGGGGGGAGGGGTGGAGGCGGAGGGGTGGGGGGGAAGGGGGAGGGAGGGGGAGGAGGTGACTCGAGCATTTAGACACAAGCGAGAGGATCATGGCGGATGGCCCCAGGTGTAAGCGCAGAAAGCAGGCGAACCCGCGGCGCAATAACGGTAAGTGGCGGAGGGGACCGGGGAGCGGCGGAGTCAGGGGGAGCCGGGTAGCCGGGGCGCCCCCGGGGGCGAGGGGGGCGAGCCGGGCTGGGAGCGGCCGGGGCAGGGACGGCAAAGTGGAGTGGGAAAGTAGAAAGTAGTGCTCTCTGCCCCCCTCCGCTGCCGCCGCTGCCGGAGCCGCGCCGCGGCCGCTCGCTCTCCCTGAACCGTTATGTCTCTTACCTGGTCTCTCTCCGCCTAGCGGCTCCCGCCGCCCCTGCCGCCTCCCTGGACCGTTAGCCGCCGCCGCCGCCGCCGCATCCCCGGCGCAGGGCGGGCGGCCGGGACGCGCTGGCCACTTTTCTGGTCCCGGGTGGAGCGGCTGTTGCTTCTTTCCTCACTTTTCCCCACTCTTGTGCCCTTCGGCGCCTCCCTCTCCCCCTCCTCCCGGCCCCCTCGGCGGGGTTCTCCCTCGGCGCCCAGGCCCCCGGGAGCCGCGGAACAAACTTGTGCCCGGCGCTGACCGTGCAAAGTGGCTTCCGCGCGCCGCGGCCCCGGCCGGCGCCGTCGCTCGGGCCCCGCCACTCGGGCCGGGCTGTGGGCGCGCGGCGGCCGGGCGGCGGCGGCGGCGGCGGCGGCGGCGGGACGGGGCGGCCGCGGGCTGCGTGGGGTCTGTGCGCGCGTGTGCGCGGGCGCCGGCGGTGCGCGCCGCGGGCTGACGGGGCTCGGCCGGCGGCGGTAAAGTTGGGACCAGCGGGCCGGGCGCGCTCGCGGAACGGGGATTAGAGGCGCGGGGGCGCGGGTCCCTAAGCGCCCCTCCTCCCGGAGCCTCCCGCAGCCCGGCCCAGAGCCCCGGCCTGGGGGCTCCGCGGCGACCCCTGCGAGTGGGGCACGCGTTTGGCGGGGCGCGGCGGGGCGGCGCGGGGACGGGGTAGGCAGTGCACCCAGTTAACGCCGCCAGGAGCTGCGCGGATGGCGGCGAGCTGGGCGGCGGGTGTGTTTGCGGAGTTGTTACCTGGGCTCAGGGACAGGGAAGCACCGCAGACAGATCCCCCTCCCCGGGCAGACGCGGTCTCCGCGCCGGGCTGGGCCGGTGTGCGTGCGCCTCGCGCTTTTCTCTTTCGGTTTTTGGGGAAGTTGTTACCTGGGCCGGACGCACGGAGCGCTGAAGCCGGATAATGGGGCTTGGATGGCGCTCTGGGTCTCGGGTGGAAGGAGAGTGGGGGAGGGGGCGGACGGACCGACGGACGCGCGGGGCTGCTGGTCGCGCCGCAGCTGCGGTGTTTATTGATTTGTGCTGCTGTGCCAGGGGAAACACACCCCTCTGCCTGGCGTGAGAGTTAAAAAAAAAAAAAAAAAAAAAAAAAAAGCGAGGGAGAGAGAGACAGCCCCAGGGATCGAGACCCGAACATGTGGTGGTTGCACAGTCGCCTTTTCCAGTTTGGAGAGACGTTGTAAGTTGATTGTATTTCTGTTTATCTGGGGGCGATGCTGTGCTTTCTCTCCCTCTCGTGCAGCAGCGAAATGTCTGCTGATTGTTATTGTCTGGACAGTTCCTGTGGCGAGAGGGGCGAGACTTGTCCGCCCGGGGGCGGCGGGAGCTCGGGGAGAGCAGCCCCCGCCCGCGCCGCCTCGGTACCTGTTTGTATAATAATGGGCGGCAAACGGCCCTGCAGCCGGCCGCAGCCCAGGCTATATAAGGAATTACACGTACATTTCGGACCGAGGGGCTCGCTTTGGTGCCTGCGTTCTTTTTAAAACGACTTTTAAGAGAGGGGGAATAAATGTGTCTGTAATGGGACCGCTGCAGCGTTGAGAAAACGAGGAAATAACATGTTTAGGAGAAAACTCTCTCGTGCTCCCCCCTCCTGTCTCCCCCATCCTCCCCCCTCGCGCCTTGGCTCCCTTTCTCCCTCCCCTCTGGGATGCGAAACGCGAGGTTTTGTAACCTTTCCTGGCAATTTTAGATTTTGTGTGGGATTTCCTGTCTAGAAGCAGATACGAAGATTTTTAAGCTGTTTCAAGATGTTTCCTTCCAATCCGTAAACATATTTTTAATATATTCGTGCCGACATTAAAATCACTGCTTTTATGAGTGATTTTAATTATTCATATAAACACTTGCATTTTAAAGACGTATATTGATTATGATCGAAAGGTATTTTGATATCCTCATTGTGGAGAGATGAGTTATAGCAAGGAGTGGAGCATAGGCTATGCAATTTTAATTTCCTGTTTTAGCGTCAAATAGTGTGTGTTCTATATTGAGCTGTTGCCGCTGTTGCTGATGTGGCTTTATGAAAGGTAAGTTGGTTCGGAAAGGGCTGTTCGCTTTTTACCTTATTTAAAATGTTGATCGCCAGAGAAAGGGGCTTTTCTTGTTGCTGACGACATGTGTGTGACATGTGAGTCTGAACCACCCAGTGTCTGTGCAGCTGCTGTAAACATGTTTACCTGAACAGGAAAGAATGGATTTTTCTCCTTAAGATCCTGTGATATGAATATTACGCTCGTAAGGCATATCAACAGATGACTTAAGGGGGAAAAGCGATCCTGAAAGGTACTTGAAATCAACAGGAAAGAGAGGTTCTTGATCGCTGCAGCAAATGGCAACTTGTGCAGGTAGAAAAAAGATGGTGTTTAGTTTTCTCCTGCATGTATGTCAGCCCCCTTCTGTCTGCTGCTTTCATTCTCAAGGGAGGGATTTATTTACCACGCTTGCTGTCAGTGTTTTTCCTTTGTGTTTAATATTAGTAAAACAGATTTGCGGCTGTTTAGCACCAAACGTCTTGTCTGCATTATGCATTTCTCTCAGAAAACAAAAGGTGTTTAAGATAGCACTGTACTACTACAGGTATCTTCCATTTTCATCACTTTTGGCTCTGTCCTTGTATTTCTTTTTGTTCTCAAATGTATTTCTTCCGTTGCTGGTGATTATAGCCATGCTATTTGATTTAGCCTTATATTTTGCAAATTAAAAATGAAGTTATATTCCATTGTGTTGTGAAGCCTCGGTATATCTGTTGGTTAATATTTCTTAGCAATGCAGTCATATTTAAGTTGCAGATGTTTATTGGAAAGAATTACCTGGCAAAATGTTAACTCTTAAATCTTTTTAATGAAGGAATGATGTATACAGTGGAAGATTGTCATAGAGATGGTTTATGTTGTTATATATATATATATATATGTATGTATTTTATTCATTTTGAAATAAGGTATGTGGATTTTGCTGCTAAAGCTTCTTTAAAACCTTTTAATTTCCTTTCTGGAATACGTCTGAAGGTAGGATATTAAAGGGAGTATCAGGTAGTGTAACTGACAGGGGTAAACCAATTGAGTAAGGTTTGGCCAAAGCATCAAACCTTGTGTGATAACTTTATGATAATGATGTTAGTCATCTATAAAGGAGTGACAATTCTTGAATTAGTTTTTACCATCTGTAATTTAATGTTTTGTTATGTTTTTAAAAATCAGTCTTTTCTCTTTCTCTGCTGCTTCTGTGTGGTTTTCTTCTTGTTCTTTCTTTTCGTCTTTTTTTTTTTTTTTTTTTTTTAAGAGATGTACTCTAGCTGCTGATGACCACATGCTGATTAATTCTCTTTAGATGGAATAGCAGGTCCATGTCCTTCTGTCATCAGCACCATTTCCCCTTGCTGTCATTGGAAACCACCAGTAGAGGATGCTAACAAAAATGATTACTGGTGTAGTAGTATCATAAGTTTCTACAGTGCTGATTGGGAACTTCAGTATAATTCTAAGTCTTACTGTTACTTAAAACTAGCCTTGGTTAAATTAGGCATAAGCATTTTCTTGTTTGTTCAAACTAGAAAGAAGCAGGAATGTTTTAACTTAAATAATTTTATAAATTTAAGTTATTTAAATCTCTAATTGAGATTGCTATTCTTGTTTTAGAGCAACTGTATTACTCTTTATTTTAAAAAGATTTATGTTCTTAAGTTTGAAGAAGAATGTGTAATACTTGACCTGTATTTATTTTGCATATTTGGAATACTTTTTAATCTTCTTTTAAAAATTCATTGTAAGATCCCTTAAAATATGTATTTTAAATGTTAAATACATCTAAAATGGTAAAAGGTTAAGAGTAGTAAGGAAAATTACAATTAATTGATTGATAATACTGTGTAATTATTTTTATATGTCTTATGCAGACTTAGACTATGGATGGCTTGGCAGAGAGCTGCTAAAGGAGGTGGTAACTAGCAGTCACTCAGATGTCAGAGATTTTTAGATTTTATCGTTTCTTTCTCCTTCAAGTCTTTTCCTACTGGTGGCCTTCTTCCTCCTCTTTAGTTAGGAATCAGTTAGTGCATACATTAGTGCAAATATTAAATTTGCCAATTGTAAATTAAGGAATATGACTTTGCTTTGAGATCTTAAATGAAGTAAAAACATCTCTGTTTATTGCTGTATGCTTGTATTAAAACAATTTATTTCAAACTAAATAAAAATACCTTTGCATATAAATAATTTCATGAGACAGTGTATTTAGTTATGTCATTTCATTTTGTGTCCATATAGTTATATTAATGTAACTGTACATTTTAAGCCTTTCATTAGGTATAACGTTATTTTCTTAATTGTTTTTAGTGGTGTTTCTGTAAATGCGTCAATATCAGTACCATAATAGGATAGCCACACTCCTTATCTTGAATTAAGTAGGCATTGAATTACCAGGAAACCCTGTGTTAATTTCTTATTTTAGGACGTCTTGGTTCTTCACGTGTATATGTGTGTGTGTGTGTGTGTGTGTGTGTGTGTGTGTGTGTGTAGTTTTTCATTTTCTGACAGGTATT